TATTTAAAAATAATTTATATTAATTCAATAGGAAAAAAGAGCGTATTCCAATGACTCACCTGGTGCCAGAGTGTCCTTTAATCAAGGACCAGATATCACAACGGTATTTAACGATTTGTTACATGAACGAATTTTACGGAAATATAATTTGCAACTAAAGATATATGTATTTAGTTACCAAAATCTACTTTTGAACAAAAAAACGATTTTGAGGTGACATTACTTTTAGATGATAATTTATCGAATCATCAAGTTGAATCACAGCAAAACAATTCCGAGGAAATAAACCCTTGGCTTCAACATGACACCTCTAAACTAGCGACCTCTAGTAAAAATATTAATAAAAGTATCAAAAATAATAATAAACTCGATAAATTGGCATCAAAACTCAAGAAACAAAAAAACAAAATGCAGACAAAAGAGTGTGTTGAAATTGACGTGAATAAAACCATGCCAGTTCAAGTTACCGGTAATTATAGTATATATTTATCTCTTTAATTATTTTTACATGAATAATCGTCGCGGCCGAAGTCGGAGATTTCAAAAAAAATTCATATTAAAACGGGACCAATTCCGACTTCAAGTTCAGTCACGACAATAATTAGCTATATTTTATTTTTGTATGTTAAGATGATAATACGAAAAAAGAAAAAGAAAAGACATCAACATTTGATAATTCATCTACCGAGAACGTTAATATTGAATCTGATAACGACGATGGTGTTAACGCTAAAGCGGTAGAAAATTTTGTAAACGTGAAGAATCCCAATGCGTTTACGCAAAGAGAATTAGTTGCTCGTGCTTTTGCTAATGACAACGTAATCGAAGTAAGTTAATACATCTTTATATATAATGTTTTAAAAAAAAAAAAGTATATATATTTATATATATACACTCTATCATTATTCTGAATAGGAATTTGAATCGGAAAAACAAGCTATTATCGAAGAAGATAAGCCCAAAGAGCAAGACATAACATTACCTGGTTGGGTAAATTTTAGCCTGGGTTTATATTCTGATTTTATTTTTTAATTCATCGTTTTCTCGTGTTATTAATAAAAATGAAAATTTATTTTTAGGGAACATGGGGTGGTAAGGGAGTTAAACCACAAAAAAATAAAAAACCGATAATAGTCAAACCGTTACCAGGTGAAGGTATTGATAATAAAAAACGTCAAGATGCAAAATTAAAGCATGTAATTATTAATGAAAAAAGGATTAAAAAGGTATTTATATCTATAAAAAAAAATTTTGATATTACAGAATTTCGGAATGTTTATTTTTTTAAATATTCCCGATTAAATTTAGGCAAAGAAATATCTTTCTACGGATATTCCATACCCATTCGAGACTAGAGAACAATACGAGCGTAGTTTACGTACTCCGATAGGTAAAGAATGGAATACGCATGAAGTATTTCAAAAAATGATTACACCTAGAGTTATCACAAAAATGGGTGTTGCAATTGATCCTTTAAGTGCGCCTTTTAAAACCAGCACCGAGGTAGATTGATATTTATTTTTATTTAAAAATATAATAAGTTTATAAATTATCGACACATTGGCTGTGAAAATTCTGGAATTAGGCTTAGACTTTTGTCCTGTGTTTTTAAATT